GGGTGAAAGGCACTTCTGGATTCGCTTTGCGGTCCTATATCTGCTATAACCACACTATGTAAGATTGCCAGATAGGGTCGCGTTTCTGTAGTTCTAATGAGACATAAGAAAACTACACATTTGTCTTGCTTTACGTCAAGCGCTACAATAGTTTAGGATTACAAATTTATTTAAATGTTTAATTTAGGTTCCAGTACAATAGTATATAAACTGAGAAAGTTCTGGAGATTGAATTTAGCATTCAGCTGTTGAGCACGAGATTTCTGTCCTGTTCTGTTTCTCTCTATACAGCCGCCAGACCTGTTTCTCTCTATTGTAAGTTAAATGAAACAGATTACTGAAACTCTTGGAGACTCTCGTGAGCTTTTGTCTCAGCAAGAGAGAGTCCTGGCATTCCTGTTCTTGAGTCTCAGTGTTTGAATAAGTTATCACTCTCAGTTTCAATACAGGTTTCCTAAACCTGTAGACGAGTTTGCTCCACCTCTATGTAAATCCCTCCCCCTAAATGTATAAATTGCAATGTAAAAGTTCCCTTAGTTAGACTTGGCTAAGATTTTTGGACGAAGCAGACTACAGCAATAAAGAATCCTGCTTAAAAGATACACCCGAGTCTCTGGTCTTCGCTTCTGAGTTTCCTACACTTTAGAAGAAAAAGTTCACAACAATAGTCATTATTTTGTTTTTCTTCGTTTCTGATGTCGCAATACATCATACTTTCATGAAATCATGCAACATACTCTACCTTGTCTGTGGACATCGTTCATTCCAAAGCCGGTGCTGGATAAACAACGAGCGTGCGTGCGACAGTAGGCTGCGGTAGGCTAAATTATTTACGACAGCGGTAATGGACAATTCCGCTTCCAACCTGTAGGGCGACCGCAGAGGAAAAGTTACTTGGTGTTGCTTTAAAATGTCTTTAATTGCTGTCACAGTGTCTGGTTTGTGTTTCCCTGGGTAACCACCAGAGGTCCTCTTCCACCACGGTGTCATTCACTCATACTACATTTCCCATCATCCTTTTCTGTCACTCATTGATCATTGCACACAGCTGTTTCCCTTCACCTTGTATCTATGTGTATATACACTCACCGGCCACTTTATTAGGTACCCCATGCTAGTAACGGGTTGGACCCCCTTTTGCCTTCAGAACTGCCTCAATTCTTCGTGGCATAGATTCAACAAAGTGCTGGAAGCATTCCTCAGGGAGTTTGGTCCATATTGACATGATGGCATCACACAGTTGCCGCAGATTTGTCGGCTGCACATCCATGATGCGAATCTCCCGTTCCACCACATCCCAAAGATGCTCTATTGGGTTGAGATCTGGTGACTGTGGAGGCCATTTTAGTACAGTGAACTCATTGTCATGTTCAAGAAACCAATTTGAAATGATTAGAGCTTTGTGACATGGTGGAAGTAGCCATCAGAGGATGGGTACATGGTGGCCATAAAGGGATGGACATGGTCAGAAACAATGCTCAGGTAGGCCGTGGCATTTAAACGATGCCCAATTGGCACTAAGGGGCCTAAAGTGTGCCAGGAAAACATCCCCCACACCATTACACCACCACCACCAGCCTGCACAGTGGTAACATGGCATGATGGTTCCATGTTCTCATTCTGTTTACGCCAAATTCTGACTCTAACATCTGAATGTCTCAACAGAAATCGAGACTCATCAGACCAGGCAACATTTTTCCAGTCTTCAACTGTTCAATTTTGGTGAGCTCTTGCAAATTGTAGCCTCTTTTTCCTAGTTGTAGTGGAGATGAGTGGTACCCGGTGGAGTCTTCTGCTGTTGTAGCCCATCCGCCTCAAGGTTGTGCGTGTTTTGGCTTCACAAATGCTTTGCTGCATACCTCGGTTGTAACGAGTGGTTATTTCAGTCACTGTTGCCCTTCTATCAGCTCGAACCAGTCTGGCCATTCTCCTCTGAACTCTGGCATCAACAAGGCATTTCCGCCCACAGAACTGCCACTCACTGGATGTTTTTTCTTTTTCGGACCATTCTCTGTAAACCCTAGAGATGGTTGTGCGTGAAAATCCCAGTAGATTAGCAGTTTCTGAAATACTCAGACCAGCCCTTCTGGCACCAACAATCATGCCACGTTCAAAGTCACTCAAATCAACTTTCTTCCCCATACTGATGCTCGGTTTGAACTGCAGGAGATTGTCTTGACCATGTCTACATGCCTAAATGCACTGAGTTGCCGCCATGTGATTGGCTGCTTAGAAATTAAGTGTTAACGAGCAGTTGGACAGGTGTACCTAATAAAGTGGCCGGTGAGTGTATATACCCTGTTTGTTCAGTGTTTGTCACGGAGTCCTTGTTACATGTCATGTCACCTCTGAAGTTCTGGTTTGCTGGTTTCTTGTTTATGTTCTTGTGTTTGGATTGACTATTTGGAGTTTGACCCTTGCTTGGACTGGTTTTGTGAGTACGGATTACCCTAATACAATACTGCAATTGGATCTTACCGTTTCCTGTGTGTGTATCATGACAATTGCTCCTTGCTGCAGTTGGTCTGAAACTCATGTTGGCATGTCTTGTCGGCTGCTTTTGTGCTTGGCCCCGGTAATGGCTGCTTGCAGCTATATATCCAGCCACCTACTGGTCCGGAGATATGAAAAATGGCTATTTTTGCTCATAACTTCTGAACGGTTTGTCCAAAAATCATAAAAGTGGTCTCGTTGGATTCAGGGCGTCATGCCGAGTCGACTGATATCCCATTTTGACTGTCGGCCATTTTTTATTATGTGCTAAAATGCTGTATTTTTAGAACACATGAACGAATTGTTACGAAACTCGGTATGGGTCATCAGTACGATACCCTGAAGGAACCTGAGAAGTTTCGAAACAGCGCCACCTAGTGGTAAAATTTATTTTTCAAATGCTTATAACTCTGGGTGTGGTTGACTTATTTTATTTTGACTTATTTTCATATCATTAGACTCCTGAATCCTCGCCGAGTCCAACGATACCAGACTTGCCAGGTTTCGGCAAATGGTTTGTGCAGCGTTGTAATTTTGCGCTTAAAAAACATTTGCCAATATCTTCGTAACAGTTTGACCGATCGAGACGAAACCACCGTCAGAAGTTTGAAAACATAGGTCGCTGGCTATATGCTAATGCCCAAATGGCAAAATATTGATAGTAAGGGGTAATAAAATTCAATCAAAGTAACGTGTCAGTCATTTTTTAGGTGTTTTTTTCACATAAATATCTGTAACTCTGCAGCGAATTGAGATATTTTCACCAAAATTTACACACAGATGTCTGGGCTCACTCTGAGGACACATAAAAAAATGGTGGGACTGAGCCTCTTGGTGGTGCTATAGAACAAAACGTGAAATTGCCATTGAATTCAATACAGTTTTGTGATTTAAATGCATTGGTGTAACATTACAAAACTCAGTGTGTGCCATAAGCAGCATGCCCTGAAGGCACTCAAAAGATTTTGAGACAGCGCCACCTTTTGGTCAAAAATTATAATTAATTTCCGAAAATGCTAATAACTTTTGAATAAATTTGCCTATTGTAATGACAGTGATCTTAATAGATTCCTTGGGTTATGCCAAAAACATATATACCAGGTTTGCCATAATCAGCCAAACTTCCTGTCCGCCATCTTTATTTTTTTTTTAAAACCTTCTTTTTCGAACTTCTCCTAGAACGTTGGTCCGATTTTCACCAAAATTGAATCGTGTCATCTCCAGACCGTGCCGTCTAAAAGTTATGGATTTCGTGACGATAGATGAAACCGTTTTCGTATACCACAGCATCAAAGTTGAGGCATGCTGCCAAAATGACTATTTAGGCTTTATCTCTGCAATGCCTTCACATTTTGACACCAAAACTTTGTATGTGTCATTGTCACCTCACTCTGATCACAATGCATCACCACCTATTGGTTGAAAGTGATAAACCATTAAATCATTTTATAAGTTACTGTATATATAATTTTTAAGCCATTTTGCCTAAATTCATCTTTAAATGTCTTTAATTGCTCCTTGCTGCAGTTGGTCTGAAAATCCCATGTTGGCATGTCTTGTTGTCCGCTTTTGCGCTTGGCCCCGGTAATGGCTGTTTGCAGCTATTTAACTTTGCTTTGCTTTTCACAACATGCTAGCGGAATGATTGGCGCTCTTTTTTTATTGCCTTTTTTTCATATCACATATTTTAGTAATCATCATAGATTAGGTATCATTCGAAAGCTTACGAACTCAAAATTCATCCTTTGAAAACATAGTAGTAGTAGCATAGTAGTTTACACAGGACTGGTGGGAAATGCTTTATTCTAGATGTTATGTGGTTGATTTTAATAGGTGAACTGATAGGTGTCTTTTCAGCTTGCCACTATAAATCGCTATTTTCTGCACTTAACTAGTGAATTTTGCCAAGATATATTCAGAGATGATAGACAAGATGTTATAGAATAATAATTTAATGAAATCCCAGTTTTGACAAAAAAACTGACATTCTACTTATTTTTAGACCTTACTGAAAACGTACCAGCACGACATCTGACGGGTTTTCCCAGATCGCATCACAAATATTCTTTAATTGCAGAATGAGAGGCACAGGTCACTATATATCTAATGGCAGAGCGATGTCTTACATACTGTAATTGTGGAATAAAATGGCTATATTCACATAGATTATGCATGATACTTTTATATTCAGCCTAATAAAAATCTTCCACGGTAACAAGACTAACTAGAAACAGCTAGAAACAACAAGACTAATGAGGGAGAAAACAACACTGAGATCTGCAGTCTCTCAAAAACACTGCAAAATGAATCTCTTATTTTCATCTGCACATGTCCATTAATTTATAATAAATAGAAGAATAAGTAAATAGAAGAGTATTAAAAACTTACTGATTAGTAGCACTATACAGTTGTCTTATGGGTTTGAAATGACATGAGGGTGAGTAAATGATGACAGAATTTTTGGGTGAACTATCTCTTTCTTAAATTATATATTTTTTCCTTTGCAGGTGCTATTTGTGGACGGGAATGGATTGTTCCACTACCGGGGTAGATGAAACTCTTCTGTCTTCTGACTAAATCAGTTACTTCAAATGACATCTTATGGATTTACCCATTTTAAAGAATTTTCAAGACCAAAAAGGCAGTCCTCTCTCTCTCTGACCCTTTCTTTATGTGATTTTTATAGAGTTTGGTTTGGCCTGTCATCTTGGTGTTCTGTCAGATCTGCCCTGTGTGGGTGTTGCCAAGAACCTTCTTCATGTAGAGGGAGTGTTGAAAAGTGAAGAGCACCATTCACAGGTCAGAGTCACACCTGAATGCCAGGGAACAATGTATCTACTATCCAAACCGTTTGGTTCCAAAATGTGCGTGAGAGATGTGGCTGCACCAGCAATCCTTTCGTGTCAGTGCACGGGACAAAATGAAAGCTTATAGGTTAGAGCAGGGGTGCAAAACTCCTGGATGGTCACAGTCTTAAAGAGTTTAGTCCCAACCCTGCCTCAACACACACACACCTGTAGTTTTCAAATAAGCCTGAAGGACTTGATTAGCTGGATCATGCGTGTTTAATTACGGTTGAAGCTAAACTCTGCAGGGCTGTGGCCCTCCAGGAGTTTTGCACCCCTAGGCCAAAGCTTTAAAGATGGTATTAAACTACTACCTATAATTTTGCAAATATTTGGTACCCCTCATAATATGTGAATACACGAGTAGATTTAATACATATATTATTTGACTGGATATGCAGATTTTTAATAATCTAATATTTACATAATATTGTAATATTATTATCAGATATTAAATTTTTTATATATTACTTCTATAATATTGTATGACATTATTACAACAATAGACAACAATATAACTGTTAAATTGTAAAAACATTAAATCATTTTAATTTATGTTATGCATATGACTGTTACATAACAGGATGTGTCAAATATGTCATTCAGATATCCTCCTGTTGGCATATTTTGGAGACATTTTTTAGCCTCAATGTTCCTCACAGCAAAATGATTCCAATCAGATGGCCCTCTATAAGATTAGTTGTGAATTAGTGGTCGGCTTTTTTTCCAATCCGCGGGTCCCGCTTTTATGAAATTATTTGGCCCTCCCCAGCCTGCCCCGCACCACTGTATCTATTTTACAACCCGCCCGCCCCGCACCTGCGACCATTAAATAGACATACTAGAAGTCCCGACCTCAATTTCTCCCGTACCTCGTCTTCCATCTTTACTTTTATTGCTCCGTTTATGTTGACGTGGCTGGCGGTGGGAGCTGCTTGGGGCGCCGCTTTCGTGACGTGTCACGTGACGCCAAAGGTTTGGGGATATCACGCAAGTTAAGTTGCTACGGCCTTCGTATTGTAACCTTATCAAAGAACCTAATAAAATATGAAAATAGATATTCCCAAATATTTAATATAGGCTGGAAACATACATGGATTTTTTATTTTATTTAGTTTTTAATGACCCGCACCAACCCGCCCCGCAAATAAAGTGACAATTTCTTTCCCCGCCCCAACCCGACCCGCAGGGTCCGCGCGTTATGAGACGACACGCGCATCACTATCGTGAATGTATACGTAATGGATCCATAATATAAATGGGCAGTGATTTCAGGACTTTCCTCTGACATTTCAGCACAGACTGTGCCATATTTACTAAACAGGACCAATTAGCGTGAGAGCGCTATTCTAAAAAGGGGCATATGGGAGTGGAAGTTCTGCGCGTGATCTACCGACAACGCGTAAATTACAGAACGTTCATTTACATAATGACCAACTCAATCTACAAAGAGCAGCGCAAACAGCGCTTTTTTTGGGGAGTAAATAATGGCGCAAAAACCAGTAAATTGACTTGCGGAAACCATCGTAAAACTCCTTGGATGATTAATTTAAAGGTTAGAGTTGTTGGGTGACGTCACTTCTTGTTGACGTTCGAAGTATTGTCAAACAAAACGGAGGCTAGCTAGACCCTCCCTCCTCCTCACCCCGTCCCCTCCCCCTGTAGTTTTACTGATACTTCATTCAAGGTGTAATGTTGCCAAGTTAGATAAATGCTTTCATAGAAAGCAGAATAGAATGGAGAAAAAGAGAAACATTACCAGAAAAACACGATAAAACGTTTCGCCACCTGAGGTTATAACTTTAGCTCCCATACAAGGACGCAATAATAGCAAGTTAATAGCTTTGCGTTTCCCAGTGAGCATAAACAGCGGCTCCGTCGTAAACAAATTTAGCCAAAGTTGTTAATAGGCTATGAATGAACATTCAAATTCATAAAGTTTTTTTTTCTTTTGTTTTTCTTTTCTTTATTTAATAAGAAATACAATTTACAGACCCAAATCTACAGAGACACTACATGCTTATACATTCATCCTCACATTCATACCCCAAAACATACATGAGAAAAGGTTTCATATAATTATAATAAACATAGAATATTATTCCATTTTTTGTTATATTCATCTAATTTATTGTTGCTTTCTGCTATTATCTTTTCTAAAAGAAGATGCGACCTTATAACATTCTTAACCCTCTGGGGACCAAGGTGTTTTTGGGGTCCTTGAGATGTTTTGACATGCTCTGACATTTGTGCTTTTTTCAGTTGCTTATAAACATATTAATGGCACAGGTGAAATTACACTCTATTTAGCACAAACAGGTCTACCATAATGTGTGAGCAACATGTATGTACATGTTTGTATTTTTGAGAGAATATTGTTTATGCGTGGTTATTAGAGCCTGACCTATATATCGGCGGGCCGATATTATCGGCCGATATTAGGCTTTTTCCAAACTATCGGTATCGGCATTTATAATGGCCGATAAATGAATATTTTAAAAAATGCGGGTGCGGTGATTCATGTAAGGGTGGCGCTGTCAATACCTAAAAGCTGTCACAAAGAACTGGCAAAAGTAATGATTATGAATACAACGAATATAGCAAGGAGACATTTTAATTGTTTATTAATAAACAAGTGTTTTCAGTCAGTGTCAGCCAAAGATGAAGTTGACGATGCTGACTCGCGATCTTCAGTGAACGCGCGCCAGAGAGAAATGCACATTTCATTCGATTACATAAGTCTGTCTGTCTTTCGTTTTGAATTGTTCTGTTTAAAAGTAGACATTTCAATATAGATATATTTCAATTCTCAGGTCTATACGCTGAGTTTCGGTTCATGAGACGAGCTCCAGTTCACCCGCAGGCGCCTCCGTGTCGAGATTATCTATTGTCTGCTATATTTACTTCTTAAATACAGGCAATTGGTTGATGATACATTGATTAAAATTAAGATACAATTAATACAAAACGAAATTCACTTTGAAACGCAAGGTTTTGTGCTTTCTGTTTGATGTCTATGTGAAAGTTTCAAAGCATATTTTAGTGCCGCTTTCAGAGCGCTCACGTCCGTAGTGCTGAACTGTCGCGTCTGTAACATCGTTTTTTCCTCATAAATGCGAACACGAAAAATAAAATAAAATAAAATGAATATTTTATGTAGCCTGTGGAGACTGAGAGCCAACCCTTCTTCATCCGGTGGGTAGTAGCCTACTTGTGATTTGCGCGGTGTAATTCACAGAATTGATTTCTCTCCTACCAGCCTCTGTCACGTATTGTGTGAGCTTGTGACTATTGCAAGCGCGCAGCTGAGAAGTCCTGATTATATTGTCTGCTATATTTACTTCTTATTTATTAAAATGCGTGGCGCGAGCGATCTCCGACAGTAAACTGATTATGCTTTGTCTTGGGTAAACAGCTGTTCCGACGCGAGCAATAACGGCCGCGTCCGGTGTAGACAGTGTTAAAGCTCATTCTGCCTATAACGCTACGTTACAACATCAAGCAATATTCCAATAATTTATATAATTATAACACTTTATACAGGGCCATTTTGCATTAAGAGTAGCCTAGTTTCACGTTTAGTACATTTTGCTTACTAATTATTTAAAATAGTATAAAAGTACTGTACATATGTAATTAAAAACGTTTTCATTATGATATTATTAATTTTACTTTAGAGATTAGAGGAATTAAGACTAAAAATAGAAGATAATAAGGTTTTGTCAGTGACACTTTTTATATATTTATTGATACAAGTTATGACTAAATTAAAAGACAAAGTCGTTAGTGAAGATTATGCAACAGTATTTAGAATATAATATAATATAATATAACATGCAATGCAAACTAGTTTGGTTACAGCTCAGCTGTATAATTCTCATTCTATCATTCCCCCTGCCTCCATTACATATCTGTGTCACACAAGAGTTTGATCACCACATTTGAGTGATCATTGCACAACGTGTTTATAAAATATATTTATTCTGTTTATACTGTGTAAAGTACCCATCAAAAGTTTGTACACACCAATAGGAAAGTGTCCAAACTTTTGACTGGTATACTGTACTATAATACACATAAAAAATATTGCTACTGTATTATAATATACACATAAATAATATCGGCCGATATATCGGTATCGGACTTTTTTTACTCCCTAATATCGGTATCGGCATCGGCCCCTAAAAATCCATATCGGTCGGGCTCTGGTGGTTATTGAAAAAAACTAAAAACTAAAGTTTTTGAAATAAGGACACAAAAAACATACTAAATATGTGTCCACAAGACTTTTGACTAATGTACGTTGTCGCCTAGAGTTTTTGCTTCAAAATGATCTGAAAATCATCCTTCCTAATCATTCACATAAAACAATAGATTGATTTAAATTGTGAAAAACATTTTTTTGTTTGCCAAGGCAATATGCGGATGGGCGGAACGGCCCAACCCCTATCATGAATAATTAAGTGGTTCTCAGACAGTGACCCTGCATAATAATGAGCCTTTCATTCAGGGGTGTCACACAAGAAAGAATGCAAGGACAATATATATATATATATATATATATTGTCATTGCATTCTTTCTTGTATATATATAGCCTACATATATATACACACACACACACACACACACACACACACACACACACACATATATATATATATATACAAACAATCAAAATATAAATGAAAGCCAAAAGCACATTTTTAGTCATACCTGGAAACAAATCCTGGTCAAATGCTATATGGGCCATTCTACAGAATTGGTTCAAAGTTACAGTTGGAAACATCTTGAAAAGAAAATAGTCTTTTCCCATAAATGTCTTATAAAGAATTATTTTTAAAGTAGACCAATACAATAAAAAAAAAAACCAGTCGCATTTCAAAGTCGCTCGCGAAATGACCGCCAGGTGGCGCAAAGGGACATTTATCAAAACGTAAGTGGGGTCAATTAAC